ATATTTGAAGAATAGGCACTGATTAAAGGAGGTAATCTAAAGAAACCCTCTGGCAAGGTGACAGCTGTGAGTTCAGGAAACGTTTGCACCATTCAGCCGGCTCCTAAAGCCAAAAAAAAGCCCCCACTTATTGATGAATCAGGAGTTCCATATTTATTGTGCCATATTCATTTTCATGTATTTCTGAGGCATACTATTTGCTTTAAAAGGATTTACCTTCACATGGTTCTCCTGTATGTGAAAAGGCCCATTTTAAAATCCAGGGCGCACTAAAAATGTCAGATAATGCACACTGCTTTGACTCAGCAAAGTCAGCGTTGAGTTCCATGTTGCTTTCATTGAAGTATTCAGCAAAGGTATTCATACTTTTAACATCTGTGTATTTAATAATATTTTTAATTGAAAAGTTAAGAATAGAGAAAGACATTTCATTCCACCACTGTGTCATGCCTTAAGCGTTCCCATCAATTTTCTAGATTGTCTGCTCTGATAATGTTGCCCTCAAACTAAAGCACACATATTTTATTCATTTGTTAGAAAGTTCATCTCATTAATGATATTGATTGATACTGTGTCGCTCAATGTTACAAAAGAACAGTGGTTTTTAAAATTTGGGACTTTTTGTTTTATATTTGAGCAAGGGAGTGTGTCTGTGTGTGTACACATGTAAGCGAAGTGTGACTCCTAACGCTGGACAATTTCCAAAGGTGTAAATAGCTCCCCTGAAATGCTTGAGACGGACTGGGTTTCAGTGCCTTTAACGCATCATCTCATGTTTCAGTTTCCTGCACTCCTTATTTTGTAAATGGGAAACTGGGCATAATGGAATCTAAATAATTTCATCACATTTTTGCTATTAGTAGAACTATAGCTTTGGGGTCTCTGGCAAAGCCTTTTTGATTCAATTCGATGTACCGTGGTCGCATTGTAGATGCTGACGTCATTTCTTGGTCATCTGGTGGTCCTAGTGAGCCTGTCCACCTTGCCTTCTATGTTAGACTGTGAAACGCACATCTTGCTTTCCACTTTTTCTGGATGATCTACTTGTGGTACTGTGGGTGGCTCCCCTTTCTTGCTCAGCATTGTCCAGCATTTTCCTTGTGCCTGGCCCTCAGCCCTGACAGCTGAGACTAGACTGTCAGACAAGCCAGTCAAGGAGAGGGGGTTCCAGCCAGTTCAGTGCTCTGTTCGGGGTTGAATTAGCCCTGGGTTGCTGGGTTATAGGAAGGCATGTGTAGTGAGGGAAATTTGATTTCTCATATAGAATACTGAAATGCCAGAGTGTATCTCAGAGGGTAGACAAACTGTTGTTCTTTGGCTGTGTTTTGCTTTAATCCCCAACAGTTGTGTTTCTGAGAAAGGTTTTTCCAGGCTTGGAGTTGCTGCTGGCCTGTAACACCACAGACTAGCTGATTACAGAAAAGGGAAATTGATTCACATTCCTGAAGGCTGAGAAAGCAAAGATTTGAGGGGGTACCATTTGGCTGGGTACTTCTTGCTGTGTCATCCATGGCAGAAACACACACATGCACATACACACATTCTACAGAGGTGAGGGAAGGAAGGAAGATGGGAGAGGGAGAGAGAGGAGTCAGACTGGGCTTTTTTAAGATTCATTTTTTAAATTTAAAAGGCAGATTTACAGTGAGAAGGAACGACAGAGTTGTTCCATCCACTGGCTCACTCTGCAAATTGCTGCAGTGGCCAGAGCTGGCTGGACTGGGCTGAAGCCAGGTTCTTGGAGCTTCTTATGGGTCTCCTATATGCGTGCAAGGGCCCAAGGACTTGAGCCACCGCTTACTGCTTTCCCAATATGTAAGCAGGGAGCTGGATTGGAAGTAGAGCAGCTAGGACTAGGAGCAGTGCGTATATGGGATTACTGATGTTGCAGGTTGAGAATTAACCTGCTGAGCTACCATACCGGCCAGACTCAGTCTTTTATAGCAACTCCCTGCTGTGCTATGTGACCATACTCCTCCATCCATGAGGACACATGACCTAATGACCTCACCAGTTCCCCACCAGCCAACACTGTTGCATTGGAGGTTAAGTTTCCAGTACATGCTTTGCAGAGGGCACATGCAAAATGTAATATTTAGCAAGCCATCTCTGACCTTCATGTCTGCTCCAGGAAGTACATCAGATGCCAGGTAGAAAGCATGTGGTAATGTAACTAGAATAGTGTCTGCTTCTGTAGGTGGGAGGTGAGATAAGAAGATGAGTCTGTATTTGCATGTTGTTACCCCAACTTATTTTAATTTAGCTTAATCCTACTGTTGGAGTATTTGACACCTTGTCCTTCACTTTTTGAAAACCATGTGGGGATTTCAGAATGCTTCATATCAACATGTACTTTTAATCACTTTTCCATGGGCGTCTTAAAATGTCCTCATATGTGACTCATGAACACATGAAGCTGTTATTTAGATTATAATTTCCTATATCATCATGCCTTTATTATCTTTGCCAGATGTAACTCATTTTTTTCCAATGACTCCTGTTTTGTTTTTCATAATTTATCTTTTATTTTGTTATTTCTGTTCCTTTTCCTTCTTTTCACAGCCACCATTTGATATGAATAGCAACTTGTTGTTTGCCACTTGGGTGAGACCAGGGCAGAATTTCAGGCCCTGGTGGCCTGGCCCAGCCCTGTTTTTCATGTGTGCTTGTGTGTGTGTCTGTGTGTGTGTTTGATTGAACAAGAGGTTGGAAGATAAATTTCTGTCTTTCTGTTGATTCAGTTTTCAGGCATTTAAAAAAGAAAACACGTAACAATAAAGTAGAAGTGGCCTAAATTAAAGTTTATATGAATTCTTCTATATAATCTTAATAGGATTAGTGGAATTGTGAGCCTTGAAAGAAGAGCTTTGACTTAAGACCTAAGGGAACAGTAGGAGCAAAGAGGACTATCCATGTGTGAACCTGCTGTGCCAAGGCCTGAGCTGGAATCCAGGCAGTGTGCTCGGTGTGTGTTAAAGTACTAGCTTGAGTCTGAATTTAATTGTTAAGTGCCTAAAATCATAGTACTTTAGATTATTTAGGAAACAGTGGAAATCATCTAGTTCAACTCATACTTCTCACAAAAATATTCACATTGAATGCACCGATGTGTCATTCTATGTGTAGAGGTATCTCACAGGAAATTACTTATGTTATTGAGCACAGAATATAACATGTTTTATTGCATGCATGTATCTTTGGTGAGCCAGTTCCTAATGGGTTTATCTTAGAAGTATTAATAAAGAACATAGAATTATTCTGGTGCTTTGTAATTTTTATTAAATAAATATCACTTGGTGCTTCCCTTTTACCTTAGCAAAGCATTCATATGGCTGATATAAATATTAATCCATGGTCTGAAGTTCAGAGTTACATGCACCGTTCTATTTTTTTGCTCAGATGAGCTGCTGGCTGCACCTGCAGTAATGACACTTGTCTAGTGTCTGAGGTGTCAGGGTGAGCCCACTTGTGGTTCTCTGAAGCTCTCTGCATATCAGTCAGTTTCCAAGACATCTTAGAGACCATTAAGACAATAAATCAAATGAGCTTTAGTTTTGCTAGGTATCACATTGAGTCATAATCAAAGCCTGGATTGCTAGTACTTTGCAGATGCCTGCCTAGTGGCAGATGTCATTCTTGTTAAGGTTCTGAAGTTTGAGAGTAACCTCGGTGGGGAGTTGGAAGGTGAAATGCTACTTTGACACTGATAGAAACTAGATGGCAAAACAGAAGGATGGAACCTAGTTTGAGACAGTGAGCATGCTAACGTGGGCTAATTTTATTTGTGTACTTAGAGAAGGTGCTAGATTGCTCTGTGTGTTTCCTGATAAGGCAGGACCTTTATAACAAAACTTAAAACACTATCTACAAGCATTTATTTTCTTCAGTCAAAAAATGAGGTTGCTATTCCATGCATGCCTACTTTTTTCTTTTTGATCTCTACCAAGGAGTTACTTGACTTTTCTAAGATGGATAGCAGGATGAGAGAAGCTAGGGATTCTATCCACTGACCTTGGTTCTAGAGGATGGAGGAAGCGTGTTAGCCCCACAGTCACACAGCCTCTTGCAGTCGAGTCTCTGAAGGGAGGAGGAGGATGTGTCTCACGCCAGTGGCACAGTATTGTCCGTCCACTAGAACATGGACATGACAGTGTTACCGCTTCAGCCTATGGGCCTGTGGTTACGCCTGCACCTGACCCTTCAGTGTCGCCATCACTGAGTCAAATATGGACAGTTTGAGGAAGGAATGAGTTCTAGGTCATGAGAGAACTGTCTGATAGCATCAAGAAAGCATTAGCTGTAATCTTTGCAGAGTATGTGTCAGCAGCCTGGAGTGAATCACAGGATGCAATGTTAGACATTCCTATAAGGAACTCACACTCTTGGTGACAAAACAACAGTTATTCAGAAGTGGTAGATTGAGTTTTGTGCATTTTAAGAATATCATATTGAATTAATTTTATTTCCTCATTGAGTATGTATGTGATTTATGTTAAACATGTTTATTTAAAAAGCCAAAGAACTTTTCAAAGAAAAAAACAGTTAAATTGGCATGTTTTTTCTCTTAGTCATACATAAAATAATAGGATGTCTGTCAAACCATCGGGTCATAGTTGGAAAAAATATGGTCCATTAGATTTATGTTTCTGTCACAACATTTCATACGCAAGACAACCTTGAGTGGCATTTCTTTGTTTCCCTGAAAGTTTTACGTGGTGAAATGTGAATAGATACTTAAAATCTTAACATTAACTGAGTTAAGATTTCTGCTTTGTTTTAATAATGTCATTTAGTTTTACATGTTTTCCCAAGTGAAAATTCAAATTCGTGGTTTATTCAAGTGAGGAAGAGTAGATCAAATCATTCACATCTAATTTTGCAAATGTCGGAAGTAACTTTTTAAGGATGGTCTCATTTATGACAGTACAGCACTCATCTTGCTAGATTGATCTATTTATTTGTAGAAATTCCAAAGCTCTCTTTTTTCGTTTTTCCGAAAGGGGGTCCTGATGACAACCTAATTGAAGGTGGAGGAACCAAATTTGTCTGCAAACCAGGAGCCAGAAACATTACCGTTATATTCCATCCATTACTAAGGTAAGTCAAGGCCTATGATGCACTTACGGATCAGTAGTTTTGCTGTTTATGCTCATGTAGTGAATGCCAGTGGTTCAGCCAGCATTGGAATAAGTCATTTTTAAAAAAGAAGATCCATTGTCTGGGGCCTCAGCAACCACGCTAATCAACAGAACAATGTCAACCTGAGTAACCACTGTCCTGGGGGCTAGCCGTTCCTTCTTGGATCCCCTGTTTCTCTGGGTCCTTCCTCCCTCTCTGAATCTTTCCAGAGTTGTATAATTGGCCAGCTAGCATCCTTTGAAGAAATTGAACCTGCTCGTAGGGGGACACAGCCGTGCTCATGTGTGTTTGCCCGTCGCTGCTGCGGTGAAATGTGCACAGGACCCTGATTTATGCTTCATAGCGAGCAGCTCCTGATGCACACTACAGCTCGCTCAGACATTACTCAGGTATTATTTGAGAGTGGTCAGACCTTTGCATAGACATGATTTTCAAAACCGACAAGTATTTTATCAATCAAATATATGGTTTTACAGATTGAAAGATAATTTGGTGCGTAGAGTGAAATCTATTAAAATGTTCAATTCTTGGAAACTCATGTTTCCAACTTAAAAAAATACTCAACCTTAAATATCTTCTGTAATGTACTTTTGGAGAGAGAAGGGAAGGAAATTTGTTCTTCAAAGGACACCAACTTTAAATTTTGCAATAATCCTGTTTACTTAAAAGAGATTAGGATAAATTTAATGTTATGCATATTTGACAGCAATAAAAAGTATTCTTTGGGGGCTTAGATGCATGAAATTAATCATATTTTATCTATTTTTTTATATTTTCAAATGACTGCATACTCCTGGGTCTACTAAATGTTAGCTACCTCAGTGTATCCATGAATGTTCTCAGGTTAACTTCTCTGGTCTGTGAGGGATTTAGGTGAACAGGCTAGCAAAGGCTGTTGATTGGACTGGAGTCTGCACTGTGTACGCTTGCCAAAGCAGAAGCACTTTGTCCCTAGAACTTTCCTGCCCTGCCATTGTAAGAATTGATACCATAAAGACTGTCAAACTCTGTTGCCTTATTTAAAACGATGGTTTTCATATTTACCAGTTTACTTTCTTTGTTGGTTTTAAATGTAAAAATCAGTATGTGCAATTAAAAATTTAAAAGTAACATTCCTACACCAAAGCATTTTACAGAAGAATCACTAACTTTAAAGAATTCTGTCCACAAATATTAACCACATGTAAATTCATTTAAAACTCACATGCTGAGGAACATTGAGATTCTTAAGAAATGAAGAAAGTTTGGACTTTGTGTATGTAGCCGGCATGTACTATATATATATCACATTTATTTAACAAGTAAACATTGAAATGTAATGTCTGGACTAAGGAACATTGCTCACACACATCAACTGGCTTTGGTCATGAGTATTCACTCTCCCTTCGGCAATTTGCATTGGTTATTGTTAACTGTCAGTAGCTGTTAGGAAAATGGAAAAATCCCTTCATCGTTAGAGCCAGGATGTGTTGCTGAGGCATGCTGGGGCCGGGGTCAGGGCCTTCTTGCCTTGGTGAAGTCAGGCATTTGCATGTAACTTAGTACTTCACACTAGGGACTGTCGAATGGCTCACCGACTTGGACAGCTTTTGATGTGGCAATTATGCTAACTGCCAGAGGGTTGTTTCCAGACTTGGTAGCACTCTCATTGACCTTGCTCATTTCTTTATTCTCTTCATTTATTCATCAATCCATTTTATTATTGATTACAACTGGAAAATGTTGTTATGTGATATAGTTTGCCATTTATTATCTGTTTTTATAGAACAGAATGTGTATCTCGTTTGAGAGAACTCCTAGAATATTGCGTGGTCTGCTAGGTAAGAGTTTTTCAAAAAACACATGACCATTAGTCTTTACATCATCTTCAACTTGCAGCCTTCCTTTTCCAACTTTTTATCAAGTTACTGTAGGAACTTCATAATGGCCATCAAAGACTTCAAATAATGGAGGCCTTTTAGTATTTTTTAACTCTTTAGTGCTTATATTCCTGCACTTACTTAGCACTTGATTTTTCATTTTTCTGAAACTTAAAGTTTGACTTTCATAATAGAAGAATTAATGTATATTAATTACTATATTCCACTATTATCAATTACAAATTTTTTCATGTTTCAGTCATTCATTTATGCATATTCAACAAATGATTATCAAATACTTGCAATGTGTTATCTCCATGTGAAATGTGGGTTCTGATTTAGAACTCTTGCATGTTGTAATGGATTTAGATAACCATGCAGTTAGCGCTTCCATCCTTTGGAGTACTCATTGATTTTTATTTCTTGCTATTCAAAGCGAATGCAATTTGGCATTCTGTTACTTAGAGTGTAGTATCATGTTGTTATATTTGAAGAAAAGAAATTATAATATATTGGAAGAGGTGTATGGGAAAATGGAAACCTGGAAGAAAAGTGCAGGATTTGAGCTTCGAAATTAAAATTAAAAAAAAAAAAAGATATCCTGATTCAATAGTCTCTCTTTGCTATTGGATTCTGAATCGGCTTCATATCGTGAAGATAAGGAAAAGGAGTCTATTGAAAGGAAAGACTAGGATCCTATTTTCTACCAAGAGTGGCATGCTGACATGGTAACATGGTGAAGCTTCAGAACCCTGGCGACCGCCCTGCTGGAAAGCATGGGAATCACTGGAATTTCTTACCCCTTCAAGAGGATGTTTATGTGTACCTGGTCTATTGATACCAGTGTAATAATTTGGAAAAGCTGCATATCAAGTCACCCAGCCTTCATACCCCTTCTAATTCTATTCTGGAATGTGTTTCTTCTCGTGTCAAGTGGTCCATGTTATTTTCCCATCATTTTGCAAAAGTAGGTTTCTAGAGGACAAGGATGATTAAACAAAACAAAACAAACCAGCAGTTCAGAAGGAACTTGGCCCAAATGATTTTTATTGTAAGTCAGCACCTATCTAAAATTGTTACTCATTGCTAATACTGCAGTGCTTTTTAGCAAGCTCAAGTGCTTTTTCACTGGAAGAAAGAAGCCATATTAAGCATGTTACTCCTCCGATTTTATTTGCTGCTTTTACTCCAGGTCAGACATTGGTAGCATTGCAGCATTGCATGCTGCTTCTGTCGGCTTCAGTTATTTAAAATGCTCTGTTCGTGATTTCCGCTCTGCTGACAGAGGATAGCTCCGTCATGGAAGTCCGGAACCTCCCTTCTAAGAACGTCGAAGAGCATATGCTCGTTCACACCAGCTTGTGTGTTGCTGTCCTCATAGCACTTCTCTGCAGGTCTCTCATTTCTGGTGGTCGCAGAGCCATTCTTGGGTCTGTCCTTGCAGTTCCTCAGGCTCCTGGAACTGTGACATGACGCTCACCCCCGTGTCATGCTCCTGGCTCCGCTGTGTGCATGTTCTCTGCTTCTTCTCCGCATTTCCCCGTTGGTCAGCCTTGTTTTTCAGAGAGTGGTTTCTGACAAGATGTGGTATAGTATCGTCCAGCATGCTTTATTCTTAGACTGAGTGTGCAGTTAAATCCTCTTCGGTCTTTCTGCCTGTAGGTCTTACTGAACAGATATTTTTGCACAAAATTATGGACCCCCAAAAGGATGTAGCCGATCTCTTGTTCTTCCCTCCAAAGTGTTAACTGTTTTTCAGTTTTCCCTGAAACCCTTCAAGGAGAATGAATGAGTTCACTCCAATAGATGGAAGGTTTTCTGGGTCTCCAGTTTGGGGAATATAAGCAAGATATGTGAATGCTGAAATTCACATGACATTTCTCTTTTGCATGTCTGATGTACATTTAGATTTCTTTCCAATAATTAGTATTTTTGAATCTTTGCATTCTGTTGATAACCATGATCTCAATATGAACAAGCCCTTGCGATGAAGTACATCTTATTCAGGTATCAACAACTGTTTAATGCACAGGGACTCTTTTTATAACAAGTAATAAACAATTTAGTAATTTCAGAACTTTGAAAATTACTCCATGGTTTCAATTTGTAGAATTTCTGGGGAAGCTATGAGAATTTATTATTCCTATTATTTTTTCCATTTGCTTTTCATTCTTTATTCTTTGAGTCTCCGAAAAGAAAGAATTCATTACCTTAGATTGGACTTTCTTGTTGCTTTGTTTTCTTAAGCATGGGCGAAGACAAAAACTATTCCCTTGCACATCTGAATGCTTGTGGCACGGAACTAAAATGTTCAGAAAATACTTAGAGCCTTTTTAATCTGTCCGTGGACCGTCGTAACCTTGGAAGGGTCCTGCTAAATGGACTCAAGGCCAGGTCTTTGCTGCATCTACTTGTCACGTGAGTCAGTAAGGAAGCAGGGAGGGACTTAGCCTGGCACAGCCTTGGTTGCAGAATGTGCCAGTGCCGCTCAGCCAGGACGTGTGTCAGGACCGAGAGAAGCCCTCCTGCTGTTTTCTCCCATGTGGTTGTGGGGGAGCAGCGCTGTATTTCTCTCCTCTTCTGATGAGGGGCAGCCCCATTAGCTCAGTGCCCCACCCCATGACTCTTTTAACTTTAATTTCCTACTGGGGAAAATAGCCATTCGATTTCTTCCTTGAAACAGGCTATGTCAATTAATGAAGTAAGCACACACATTTAATCATCCTGTCTGCACTGGAGCCTCGTTTTGGTGGAAATGGGCTTTGCACGGTGTGAGGTGCAGGCTGAACGACAGAGAGTGGCTTGATGTTATCCAAACCATTGTGGGTCTCCAATTGTTTTTCTGTGTAAAGTGGAGGCATTGGTTGGTCTCATGTTGATTTTTAGCCTTCAGATTTTCTGATCCTATAAATTGGAGAAAGTTTTATAATATTTAGAGGGTCCAGAGGCCTGGCATTCAAGAATTTAAAAATTCAAGTAAGTGTTTTGCAGATTTTCTTCCAACTAGCTTTTAAAAGGCATTAGGCTCTATGGGTTAGTGGATACTTGGCATATATAAAACATGTGGGCTTTTTTAAAAGAAGTTCTCAGGAACCCTTC